GTGCATGTTTTGCACAAGGGGCTATCTACAGTACAGTTATTGGATACAACTGTTCTCTGTTGGGTAGTCGAGGATTATGGCTGGCTCCAGGGTCCTATGGCGGTGGTTCGAGGAGAGCTCTATGTTTTGAGCAATGGGGTAATCTTTAAGCAAGACAAGGAGCAAAGAAAAAAGAAGGTGGTCGCATCAGCTCCCGACTTTCAGAGTCGGATTGGATTTGCAATGATTGGGTTAGGCGACGAGCTTTACATGATTGGAGGTGTGATTGGGCCTGGCCGGTTGAATGTAGACATTAAACCACTCTCTGATGTGGATGCCCTCTCAGTTAGAAGTGAGCGGCCAAGTTGGCACCAGGTCAAGCCTATGACAGTGTGCCATGGTACCCTTCTTGGCTGTGCAGTGCTGACAATTTAGCCACTGATCATGCTTTTAAATTGCTTTTTAGTGTTTTATGGGATTTTAGCCTCCCAATTGGAGAAGTGGTTGATGTAACAGTTCATTTCAGGTCTGAAGCTTAAGTTCTGTCTGTAAAACTTCTTTAGTCATTTTCATGTTGTTTGTAAGTTATTTATAGGAATAGCTGTTCTGTTAAGATGCAAAAGTGGGTTATTGAAGTTACAAAGATGGGTTCGCTCATTCAATTATTTTGGCAATTGGTTCAATTCCAAGGATAATTTCTTCTATTTGCTTCTTAATAAACACAGCTACAACAGTGACGCTATGTTAAAATCACTGTACAATTCCCAGGAACTTCACAACAAAATTTCTATGAATATATGATCTCTACACTCAGGCTTTTTTAACTTCTCTACATAAGTCTATTGCCAATAACTTCTCTACATGATGGGAGACATACATTCAAATCCAGCACCAGTGATCCATCAATCTATCATGTAACTCACAGAAAAAGATTTGAGTTTTTCGTTTAGTCAGATTGAGAAGGATATATAACTCAAAAGTAAGTCAGATAGCACAAGTCCTCTTTCACGACTCCGATGGGAGATTAACAGTTCAAAATCTGATTCCTGTCACAATGCTGTTAAGTGATTCGTTAAGTTCTCTCTCATGGTCTTCCCACTAGGATCAATTTGCTGACACTCTTCTTTTACATAGCCAAAGTCATGATGATAAGACAAAGGAACATCTGGTTGCAGTTTATCTCCAGTGTCTATAACAATATTATGGAGTAGGCAGCAGACCAAGATTATACTGGGTAGTTTTCGCTTATCTGGTCTCCACATAACCTTGTGAAGTATTCTCCAAGTGCCCTTTAATTGTGAAAATGCCTTTTCTGCAAGTGAACTGGCGACCCTGTGCTTTGCATTGAAACCAGCCATGGGACCTGATAGTCTCTTATCACCGTAAGGGGTAATGAGCCAAGGAAGCAGAGGATATTCTGTCCCACCAACAATGTATTCACGGATTTCTAATCCCTCAGATAAGGCCCTGACGCTTCCATTCAAACGATCACCAATTTCACAGAGTTTGTAGAATCCAGAACATTTTAACATCCGTGAAATAGTCATGCCCCCAGGCCAACCAGTAACAATATCAAGGAATCTCATACTGTCATCTACAATTGCCTGCAAGAACATGCTGTAGTTTTTACTTTGGTCACACCAGTCATCTGAGGTCTCAATTGCTGGAAGAGTCATTATAATATGGGTTGCATCAATTGCCCCACAACAATTGGGCAGTCCAAAGGCATCTTCGAAATTACTCTTAATTTCCTCCATTCGATCAGGTTCAGGCCACCTAAGATGATGTTTCGCTCGCTCTTCTAAGGCCTCTATGAATCTCCAGGTCACCTGAGATACTGTCGACTGTCCAACTCCAAAGGCCCGCCCTACTGAGACTTGAGACTCTCCAGATGCTAACCTTCTCATGGCAATGGCAACTTGCTTCTCAACACTAAGAAGCCTCCCTTCGATGTTTATAAGACCAGATGGAGGTCTTGACACAAGATCTTCCCTCACTAGGGAACAGATGTAGTCAAAGGTATTCCTTGATACCCTAAAGAAATATTTGAATCCTGCTGCCTCATCATTGGGTACCACTGGATCTGCACAAGTGATAAACACAAACTGCCATCTTTCAAAATATATGTGAGGCTACATGCAGAACAGATAGACTCCTAATCTATATAGATAACTAAAGGAACAGGAGAATGTAATGTCACATTTCTAATGCATTAATATTTATACTGTAACATTCTGTTTCCCCAATTGTGTTTCACAATGATTTAGAGGTGAGCACATAAAATCGTCTTGCTTTCTTCTCAATCAACTTTTACTTCTCGTGTAAACTTCTTTTACCTAATTAAGTTTGATGATGAACGGGTACAAAGTGCTAACTACTCTCTCTGCAACAATGTTCGTGTAAAACCATAACCATGAAGTTCCGAGTCCTCAATGGACATGACAAACAGTTGACACATCCATTGAAGACTAATGATCACATTTTTAACCTAAAAAGAACCAATTTTACAGACTCAATACTGTTTTTACGACAACAAAGTTAGAAATGCCACACCTTTACTTCATAAACTCAGTTTCTAGTGGGCATACACATTGACATAAAACTATTCATTATTCATCATTATCAAAAAGATTTAGTTGGATCATAAAGTGGAGATTGCTGAAACTTCTAATTGAGCTATAATTCCATTTAATATGAACATAAAAGATCAAATTTTGAACAAGCATGTGAGCACAATTTTAAATAAAAAAAAATACCCAAGCAGCAGATCGAACTCAAATTAAGATATTGATAAATTATAGCTAGTAATAGTGAAGAATTAAATATTACCAGAAGATGAGTTCTTATGCCAGAAACTATCCCACCAATCATTATCAATAGAATTAGGATCCAAAGGAACATAGCTTGAATTGGATTTGGGTTCTAATGAAGCAACCATGTTCATGCTAATGCTCTTTATCTTCTTCATCTCTTTCGTTTTCTTCTTCGTTTTCTTTGGAGGAGCCATGTTCAAGAAAAACAGTAGAAAAAAAAATGGAGTGTTTTGAGCTCTACAGTTCTTTTTTACTTCTTCAGATTTCACTGTTCTATTCGGGTCGGGTTTATAAAGAGAAATGAAACCCGACCCCATATGACAAGTAGTTGCACAGTGCTACTCCTAAAGCAGTTGCAACTCTGCAATCTGCATAGGTGGTCAATAAAGGCTGCTCTCTCAAGCAAATAAAGCATTCATCACTGAAGCTTCTGTCATCAAAGCAATGGAGAATGAGAAGAAAATGTCAGAAATCACTCTAAGACCATTGGATTATTTAGATGTAGATGATGTAATGGTATGGGTAACAGATGATCGTGTATCAAAATATTGTAGATGGGAAACATACACATCTCGAGAAGCTGCAATGAATTACATAAAAGACATTGTTATCCCACATCCATGGCTCAAAGCAATTTGTTTAGACAACAGACCAATTGGTGCTATATCAGTTGCACCAAATTCTGGTGAAGACCGATGTCGAGGTGAGCTTGGTTATGTTTTGGGTTCAAAGTATTGGGGTCAAGGTATTGCAACCAAAGCAGTAAAAATTGTTGCAAATTGTATATTTAATGAATGGCCTTATCTAGAAAGACTTGAAGCTTTGGTGGATCTAGAAAATATTGGTTCACAAAGGGTTTTAGAGAAAGCTGGTTTCCAAAAGGAAGGTGTTTTGAGGAAGTATTGTATTCGCAAGGGCAGAACTAGAGACATGGTGATGTATAGTTTTCTCTCTATTGATCCAAAGCTTGAGTAATATGTTTTGATGATTTTTAATCTGAATTTATTCTGATTATTTGGCTTGATTGCTTGATCTAGTTCACCATTTGCAATTGTAATTTTATATTTTCATTGAAGTAGTCAACTAAGGTGGCTAGGGCCTACGGGTCCTAAGCCAAAGTGTCCATTTTCTTGTATATTGGTTCCTTGGATTGCATTCAATTCATAAGGTCCTTTCGGTTGTTTTAATGGAGGAGCAAAGTTCTTTGAAAATGATTGGAGTGAAGGATGAAGATGAATTATCTAGTATTACTCTCCGAAGGTTTGATGTTTCTGATATTGATGATTTTATGGTATGGGCTACAGATGAAAGAGTGTCGCGTTATTGTAGATGGGATACTGTCAGGTCTAGAGATGTCGCTATGAATTACATAACAAATAGAATTATGGTTCATCCATGGACGAGAGCGATTTGTTTGAACGACAGAGCAATTGGAAGAATTTCAGTTAAACCACATTCTGGCAATGAAAGATGTCGAGGTGACCTATCTTATGTTGTAGCATCCAAGTATTGGGGCAAAGGAGTTGCAACCAAAGCTGTCAGTATGGTTGTTGCTTCAATCTTTGAGGAGTGGCCACATTTAGAAAGGCTTGAGGCTCTAGTCGAAGTAGAGAATATAGGATCGCAGAAGGTGTTAGAGAAGGCTGGGTTTAAGAGGGAAGGGGTTTTAAGGAAATACTTCATTCTGAAAGGGAGTACTAGGGACGTAGTAGTTTACAGTTTTATTTCTACTGATGCCAAGGTTGATTAATCGATGTCTTCAGATGTATGGATTGTTCTGCCTGTTCAAACTGATTTGGTTCGAGTGCCGCCCATGTGTTGCAGTGTTGCACTACTGCTTGGTCCTGGTGCACGTACCACCAACTCAATCTAAATAAAGTTGGACATGGTCATGTACTTCTGTTTATTTTTTTGCATGCAAGAGAAGTTTGCTTTGCTCATGTACTTACGTTTAATATTCCACTATCTTTTGTAAAATCATTCAAGCAAAAATGTATCAATTCAGTGTCGCATCATTTTATTATAGATGTCTATAGTCTTCAGATTTGCATACATAAGTTTGCCCCTAGTGTACTGCACCATAGTGATGAGGTTGGACTTGCACTCGGAACTCGGAAGTTTAATTTCAGTTCAGTCCCATACAGAGGAGCTAGGTTGGATGAACAGAAGCTAAGGAATACATAATTGGTCTGAGACAATGGACTAAGCATACCTTTCTCGGCTTTTTGGCTAAGATCAAGTGTAGTATCTGTTCTTATCAGTTTAATATATGATATGTGAGGTTATCGGCCTGGAGCATCCCACCAATTC